CATGTGCAAAGCAAGTGGGCGGCATACTCAAGGCTGCCGGCGAATGCTGCGGATTCAAACCGGTTGGCCTGCCTCCTGGAGATCGGAAAGTACCTCCCGGTGGACAAGAGAGGTACAAATAGCTATTTAAAAAAAGCCTGCATTCAAGAAGTGGATTGGAAGCAAAGAGTCTTCAACTCGCATGGGGTATATAAAAGCGTGCACGGCAATAGCAAAAGCCAAAGCTGATTCATGGAAGAAGTTCGGTAGGGCGTTGGAATCGAATTTCCAGACGGCAAACAAGATATTCTTGTAGACCAATCGCTGGCTCCGAGGTGAAAAGAAGGCCAGCCTAACAGTCTTAAAGGACAAGTCTGGACACCTTCATATACCGAGGATATTATTCAGCGGCGGAGAGACTACTTCGAGGAACTCCTTAACCCTGAGCAACTGCAGAAAGAGAAAGACTCGACCGTACAGCAGCAGAGAACGGATATTAACATTTCTGTAGATAAAATCATACAACCCGTGAAAACTTGAAAGCTGGAACCGATTGAATCGAATATCTGTCAAACTGCAATGGCCATGAGAAAGATACTAGCGGACTGCAGAACGACAGTAGTAGTATCCTTGTTCCAGAAGGGAGACCACAGAAAGTGCTCCGATTATCGAAGAATTACCTAGCTGAGCCTTCCGTGTAAAGTTTACGAAGAAGGTGATAAAAAGGAGGTGCCGCGGAATAACTGATGCCAAGATACAAGAGCGGTGTGGCCCAGCCGAATTACATCTGACCAGATATTCGCCCCATGCCCGACTGTAGAGAAATCATGGCAGTTCACCCATCGGGTGCGCATGTGCTTCGTTGACCAAGAGAAAGCCTATGACCGGATCCCGCGCAACATTCCGTGGTCATGCCAACGAACACATGGAATGGATGGCTAGCTGATACGGGCCACCCAATCAATATATGCTGATAACAGGGGGTGCGTCAGAATGAACGGCTTTAAGTCGAAACCTTTCAGCGTTAGCACTGGTCTCTGCCAAGGTTGCGTTCTTTTCCCTCTCCTATTTGCTTTATACATGGAGAGAATAGTCAGGCGCAGCCGAAGCAATGAGTGTATCGGTGTAGGTGATTTGAAGAAGAGAAGGCTCCTGTTTGAAGACGACCTTGTTTAACTGCCATCTTCTGAAACTGATCTACAGCGCTCTATAGAAAGGTTAGCAGCCGAGTGCCCTGACCGGCATGCGTGTGAACGCATCTAAAACGAAAAGCCTAGTGCTTTCTCGTTCTCCTGCCCGTTGCTCACTTCAGATTTACGGAGAGGCAGTGGAGCAGGTGGAGAAGTTCAAGTACCTCGGAACTATATTTACTAGTGATGGAAAGTTGGAGGAAGAGATCGACCAGTGAATTGGTGTAGCCAGCGGCGTCCTGCGTTAACTACCCCGACCCGTTGTGACGAAAGCAGAGCTCGGTCTGAAAACTAAGCTTTCGGTATTCAAGTAGATGTTCATCCCCGCGCTCACCTACAGTCATGAGTCGTGGACTACGACTAACAAACTAGGATCCAGGGAACAAGCAGCTGAATAGGGCTCTATGAGACGAGTCGCTGGCCTTACCCGCCTCGGTACGTCCGGAATTCAGATATCCGCGAGGGCTTTGGTGCACAGCTGCTGTGTTTTCAGATTAAAAAGTCACAGCTACGATGGTTTGGACAATACGGCGGCATTACCGGATGATTAAAAAGCCCCCCCCCCATACTTACACCTAAGCGTCAGCGTTTTTGCTAATGTTTAAATTTATTCCGTAGTTTTGATGTTGGCTGAGGATTAAGCAGTAATACAGTAAAAGCTACACATTATTAGTCTCGACTAAAAACGAAATTGGTTTCAGTCCATACCGCTGTGGATAATATGTAAGAACTCACCAACTGCGAAGAAACTTCCAAAATGCGAAAAAAAACTGTTTGTTGGCAAACGTTTCCTTTATAAAATTCCTGCATTTTAGAAGGATCTGTACACAATTTTCAGTTACGGGCACGATAAGTAAATAATTAAAATTATGCACGTGGAGGGCGAAGATCAGCCATCCATTCGTCATGAGGATTTGATAAACTGCCTTCACATACAGCATTCAAATAAAACGAAGACACGATAGTTTTGTGCAGATTCGTTTTCGTGCAACTCTGTCATCAGTCGGGTGCAGGACGTTAGGAACTGGTGTGTGAAAGGATCTGAGGTTAAATATATTTTCAATCTAGAAACCATGCTGGGGATTGTAAAGCAGAAGTAGCAAAAGAAGCCTGTACTTTGACGTTTCAAGCAACAAGCATTTGCAGAACTACTGATTAAGTGTAATTTTCATTGACAGTGAGTTGGCATGAACTTCAGAAGAATGATATTAACTACTCTGGCCTTAACAGAAATAAACATCGTCCTTCATTAAAAACTGATGACTTGTGACTACCATCGTAAAATATTCTTTCGGGATAAATGTTTTCTGATGCGTGCACCCTCCGGCTGCATTTTGCATTGGCCCAACTGATAACTGATTAAAAATCAGCCTTAAAATTAAAAGAAAATTTTAAAACTCCAACAAAATCAATCTATGCTTTATTGAAGTTCTATTTTAAACGAAAGATGTGCCAAACTTTGAGTTCCTGGGCTAGGGCAATTCTTAAGACTAAAACCACGTCACTGCGATGGTATTTCTACAGGGTTGCAGTGGGGGCTCAATTCGTACCGCATCTTATACTCACCCCCGT